GTATGTATATTGCATTATTTGTTAATAATCCATTACTCTAAATGTATTTTCTAATAGTAGAAAATGCACAAAATGAATGTTTAGATCGTATAATTAATCATATCTCACATAACTGTGAGATACAGTGCGATACAGTGCGATACAGTGTCGATCATACGATTAATATCTGTGTGATTCAATCAAAGCACATTTTTGTTTTTCTTACTTCTACATGGAGAGAATATTATAATTTTTAATTATAATCGATGTTTAATTATAGTCGACGTTTAATTGAATTAAATTATGTTTGCCTTTTTTCACTCAATAGTGTTTTTGTATGTATAGACATATATAATTAGATATATCCATACATAAGATCACATATATGGATAAAATTCATAGACAATTATATATGAATTTTTTAATCATATATTTTTTATATATGAACTGGAAAAATAATATGGAATAAAAAAATAATTATTGCAGAAAATTGATCTAAAATTTAATTAAAATTATTGATCTAACAGAAAATTAGAAATTCTTCTGTTACAGAACCTTGAGTAGCTCTTTTTATTATAAAATTCTCTCCGTGCAAAATATTTCCTTTTCGTATATTTTATTCGATATAGTGTCTCTATCATAAAAAGTTCATCTAACATAAAAAGTAATACTAATATGAAAAACACGTTTTATATAAGGCTTTTCAAACGCTCCACATTTTGATTGAAACTTGCGCGGGTCAATTGTCTCTTTACTTCAATTGATCTTATCTTCGGATCCCCTTTAAAATAAATCACATTGAAGTAGACGGTAGAATGAAATTTCCTTAACGGTCGGGCGTAATGACTCATCCCATCACTTGCAAATGTATAAAAGGAAAATGCATGTCTGCCGGAGCGTTGAAGGTTCTTAACAATTAAAGCAGCCGGAGCGAATACTGGCTACGCTGCATCACGGATTCCCTAAAGTCATAAACAGACCATGAGTCATCATCAGGTCATGAGATTCACAAAGGGGTTAATGTCTCCCCCTATCACATTGCTGTTAGAGATCGAGTCAAGACCTGCATTATCGAGGTACCTTATTAGTGCTCTTTCGCGCGCTCGCTGCGAAAGCGATGATGCTTTTCGAGATAAGAATATCAAATCATAGATAATATCACACACATCCTCGTTTCCATAGTTCGCGTCATCGCTGTGGTCACTGGATATTTCGCGGGGACTGTTGTAGAAAGAAGCCAATTCAATTCAGTATCTTCCTTGACGCGTACGCGGTAGAAGACCGAGGATGTGTCGACTAAATCCCATCGTGTGGTGGGCGCTTCTACTGGTGGTCGCCTACGCGGCGGAAAATCAGAGTAATTCCACTCATGAAGACAAGCAGCAGGATGACACGATGCACTATGAGCCTCACGTCAACATCACTACCACGTGGGACCACGACGAGAATTCCACGAGGGACGACGAGGACTCGGTACAGCATGAGTTTTACAATAACTACACGAAGAACCTCGATGAGAAGAGCAGTCAGAATGTGCCGGCTGAGCTTCGCGACAAATCCACAGAGACCAGCGACGGAGGCAACTCTACCACGTCGCAGCTTCGCCCAGGAAGCAATTCGAACGAAACGAATTCCAAGAACTGCAATGAGACAGTCTGTATACCAATTTGTTGCGAACTCGGCTATCGTATGATCAGAGGCATATGCACGCCCGATGACAGTGAATATGATTTCCCGGAGGTACACGAGATAGGCAAGAAGGTAAACGAAGTTTTTCCATTGTTCGTATCAAATCCATGTGTCAAAGGACACTACTTGCTCGATTCCGTCTTATATTCCGAGGACGAGTACATAATTCTGACCAACGGTTCAGTGCACCAAACGCTATTGAACAGCTCCATTGATCCGACATCTTACTGCTTCACCGTCATGAACAAGAGGAAATACGAGCTGATAAAGTGCTTTGATGTTACATTTACGACCGTCGAGAGGGCCGTGCATTTCACCTTAGTATATATCGGTATCTTTGTGTCCTTGCCGTTCCTGCTATTGACCTTCGTGGTGTACACCATACTGCCGGAGCTCTGGAACATGCATGGCTACATACTTCGCGGATACGTCGGCTCGTTATTGGTCGCGTACATAATCCTCGGGGTGTTCCAGTTCATGTCGGACAAACCTGACGGTTTGTCGGATGCAGTCTGCATTGGATCAGGTACAGCTTGAACAGACTGTATAATCGGTCGATACAACTGACGTGTATATCCTTTGTGCTCGACTGTATTTTCGCTCTTGCTTCATCGTATATTACTCTTTGATGATTGAGGAATTAATTAGGGCTTTATGGCTCCTGCACATATCCTTATAGAAATATCATACTAAGAATCATTGATAATTACTTATTTTCAGTATTAAAAATACTGGATAATAAGTAATTATCAATGATTCTTAGTATGATATTTCTATAAGGGTAGGACGCGGTAATGCTTGCCGCGCGACGGAAGTTCGCGTAACAGCCGATCAATATGCTGTTTTTCGTAATAACCTTCTAGCTCTTACGGAAAAACAACATATTGATTGGCTGTCGCACAAACTTCCGTCGCGCGGCAAGCATTACCGCGTCCTATGTGCAGGAGCCATTAGAATAACACTCTCTAAATTTCTTGGAGTAGAATTTCACTTGAAAAGCAGACTGAGCGCAAAATCACTCCCATACGAGTGATTTTTACTAAAACGGAGTGAATTTTTCACTCTGAATTGTCGAGTGGAGTCGAGTGCAGTCGAGTATTTTCACTCAAAATTCAAGAATGAGTCTGATGTTATTTCACCGTCACAGATGTATTTACTGTGATCGATTGAAATATTTTCTTGTATAGAGTCAGAATTTATTGTAAGCTAGAAAGAAAAAAAACATTCCATGAAAGTAATGGAGGTTTCATGGTTAATATATGACTATACAGAGAGAAAATTTATATATGGGACATACAAGATGTTTTCCAAGTATATATAAAAAATGCAGGAGGAGTGATTCTTTACATTAAGATAAGAAAAGAGATTCATATATTCTAAAATGTTTCATTTCCGAAATCTCGGAAGAGTTGGCTGAGAAAGACTTTTTTGCAGATAAAAAGAAAACGGTCAAACGTAAAAACGTTTAATTTTGTGTTTAACGTCTGGTATTAATAGTGGGTAAAAGTTGAAAATTAAGGATGGTTATTCTTATATTGCATAACTTTTTTTAATTCTCACAGATACTGCAAATACGGTTTTATTTTCAGAAACCTCAGACATTTGTACATAAAAAATGTATTTTTGTCAAAATTCGCTAGCACGCACCATTATCGAAGAAAATATGTTTCATCTTTGACAGAATAACATTGAATAAATAAAATATTACTTTTTTTTACTTACATAAAATGTAAGAAAATTTGAATTTTTGTTTCAACGTTGTCTTTTTATTCGTAAAAAAATAATTTTACTTTTCAGCTACTCCTTTGGAGTAATATTCAAGTAGCAGGACGTCAAATAACGTATCAATGACGTATTATTGATGTTAGAAATGACATTAATGCGTCACTAAAATGTTATTTGACATTATCATATATATTTTAAAATAAAGCATTTTAGGACATATGTTTATATGAATGTTTTTTTTTTTATTTTGATGAGAAGAATCATCTCCTGCATTTTCGACATGTACACTAGGATTCATTAATACCTTTACACTTCCTTTATCTGGAGAATTGGACTTTTTCGATCTGGCACATCGTTTCTCATGAATCGTGACTGTTAGTCGTTGGTTCATTCAGTAACTAACAATTACGATTCACGTTTACTGAGGAAAGATGCGCCAGATAAAAAAAGTCCAATTTCCAGATACCGGAAATGTAAAGGCGTTTATGAATCCTAGTGTACTTAAGAAACATCCTATATTATATTAAATTGTATATAATTTATATATAATTATATACATTTTTTCTTCAGATATTCAAGTATTCGTTTTAATCGATTGAAACTCTCGGGTGAAGTCACAATATACTTAAAATTATGCCCATGTTGTCCGGATGGAATCTGTATAGTCGTGTTCCTGCACGCTCCTTGACAACAGAATTCAAAGGTACCGTCAAAATGAAAAAGCGCGCTGCTGCTTACCCAGCAGCACTCGCAGTGAGTAATTGTGTAATTTTCCCAAATTTTCCCGGAGAATTTAATAGAAAAAACGACAAATCTTTTAACATCAATGCATCAATATAGATTCTCCTTTTTCTTATCGTAACTTTGCAAGATACATGTATCTCTAATGAAAGATATCTTTTCATTGGATGTAAGCACGCAGTTGTTACATATTTATCGCGACTTTTTCTCACAAGTTTCCAATACAGAGGAAGAATGTACAGTGTAATTTTCACGGTCGAATAATAACCGCAAGACTTTCTTGCACTTCCATGTAGCTTGATTTTGAGACGCTATTTATTTGCCTGTTTCAGCCTTCGGCGTTTACTTCTCGTTCATGGCGAGCTTCTTTTGGCTGAACGTGATGTGCTTCGATATTTGGTGGGCGTTCGGGTAAGTGGCAAAAGACCCTCGAGCTATATATTTCATCTCGCAATTTTATCGAGTTGTATATAAGCAGACGAATCACGGTGATCGTGATGCGTATGTGTGAATGTGTGACCTTCGCAGTATTTCTAAAACTCCTTGAATCTGGATACTAAAATAATAGAACGTGTTGTGTCTGAAATTTGAATATCAGTCACCCCGTGAGATAATTTCCGTTTTTTGAATGAGGTAAACGATCAATTTAAGAACGATCTTTTAAGAACAGTAAGGACAGTTATTCTTTATTTATAGAAGCAATATCAAATAAAATTGATAACAAATAGTTCTATCGCGTGAATTAACATTTTCTCCATAAAATACGCCTGCTTTGTAAGTATATATATATATTAGGTGGTAAACTTAGTTCCTGCGGTTTTTTTGTTTAAAAAACTCATTTATTTCGACATCAAAAGCAAAAAATACATTAATCGAAGTATTTTCCCTCGCTAGCTATACATTTTTCCCATCTTTCGGGCAACGCGTAGATTCCGCGACGATAGAACGATTGGTCTTTTGATGCAATCCATTCGTCGATCCATTTTCGCACATCCTCGTAATTTCTGAAGTGTGTATTCACCAAGCCGTGCTGCATCGACCGGAACAAGTAATAGTCCGAAGGAGCTAAGTCTGGTGAATACGCTGGGTGCGGGAGAACTTCCCACTCGAGCTGCATCAGTGTTTCTTTGACGGCTTTGGCAACGTGTGGTCGAGCGTTGTCGTGCAAAAGCATGACTTTACGTCGATTGCTGGCTACTGCTGGCCTTTTTTCCAACAATGCTTCATTCAGACGGTTTAATTGTGATTGATATCGATCCCCCGTGATACTTTCGTTCGGTCTGAGTAGCTCATAATAAACGACGCCGTGCATATCCCACCAAATGCAAAGCATTGCTTTGTGGCCATGAATATTTCTCTTTGGTGTGGATGTCGATGGTTGGCCAGGGTCTACCCATGATTTTCTTCGTTTAGGATTATCGAAGTATATCCATTTTTCATCGCCAGTTACTATGCGCCACTAAAAACTCTTCTTTTTCTGCCTGGCGAGCAGAGAAATAGAGATGTTTAAGCGATTCGCAATGGCATTTGCGGTTAATTCGTGTGGTACCCATTTTCCCTCCTTTTGAATTTTTCCCATTGCATGTAGACGTTTGGAAACAGCCATCGGAGTAACATTTAATGCTGCAGACAATTCTTGGAGCGTTTGAGTAGAGTTTTCGTCCAATAATGCCTGCAAATCGGTGTCTTCAAACTTTTTCGGTTGGCCTGAGCGTTCTTTATCATTGACATCAAAATCACCACTCTTAAATCGCTGAAACCATACTTGGCATGTTCTTTCCGATGGAGCATAATTGCCATAAGCTTCGAAAAGCAATTTATGAGCTGCAGCTGCAGTTTTTTTCAAGTCAAAGTAATGAAGCAGCACATGTCGAAAAAACAACTTATCACGTTCCATATTTAATCAAAAGAAAAAATAGCACTGCTCGCTTAAATGAATCTCTTCGCACTGAATTTTATTGACAAATGTCTAACCTCTAAAATGCAGCCAGTTTCAGATGTCAAAATAAATTACACCTACAATTAACGTCATCTAACTGTGAGCCGCAGGAACTAAGTTTACCACCTAATAAATAGATGTAGAAATTACCATAAAGTTATATATTTAAAAATAGTATAATACCTTGAATAAGTTCTCGCTGATTTTTTGTGAAAATTAATGCTTTATTTAAAAAAAGTTGTAAAAAACATGTCACTGAAAGTATTATCCATCGCTAGCCACTACTTTTTCCCATCTTTCTGGCAGCATTTGAATTCCACGTCAGAAAAACGACACGTCTATCCAAGAGTCGACTCATTTTTTGGCAACTTCATAAGAATGGAAGTGCTGCTCAGCCAGACCATGTGCCATCGGTCGGAACAAGTGATAATTGGAAGGGGCAATGTCTGGTGAATACGGCGGAACGGGTAGGACTTCCTATTTAAACATTTCCAAGTAGGTTTTCACCGGTTATGCAACATGTGGCCGAACGTTATCATGTTGCAAAATCACTTTGTCGTGTCTCTGCTCGTATAACGGCCGTTTTTCCTCCAATGCTCGGCTCAAACGCATCAATTGTAGTCGATAGCGATCTCCCGTGATGGTTTCGTTCGGTTTGAGCAGCTCATAATAAACTACACCCAGCTGATCCCACAAATGCAGAGCAGAAGCTTCGAACCATGGATATTCGGCTTTGCCGACGATGTTGATGCATGGCCGGGCTTATCCCACGATCTTCTACGCTTAGGGTTATCGTAGTGTATCCACTTTTCACTACCAGTCAGGATACGATGCAAAAAATCTTTCCTTTTCTTTCCGTTGAAGCTGCTGTTCACACGTGAAAAGATGTTCGACGTCTCTCGGCTTCAACTTGTACGACATCCAATATCCTTACTTTTTAATCATTCCTAATACTTTCAAACGTTTCAAAACTGTTGTGTGATCAACTTCTAATGATTCTGCAAGTTCAGCTAGCGTCTGACATGAATCTTCATGAAGTAATGCCTCCAATTCTTCGTCTTCAAACTTTTTCGATGCGCCAGAGCGTTCTTTATCTTCAACATCAAAATCATTATTTTTGAAGCGTCTAATCCAATCTCTGCATGTTGTTTCCGACAGAGCATGGTCGCTGTAAGTCTCAACAAGAATTCTGTGTGCATTAGCTGCAGATTTCTTTTTAATAAAATAGGGTAGTAAAATTCCCCGCAAATACTCTTTTTTAGCACGAAACTCGATATGTTTAACATTATAAAAAAAAAAGTTGTTTACACTTCGGCGAAATGACACACTGAATTTCAAGCTTGTTTATAGTACTTCCTTATAGATGCGTTACCATTTTAAATCACACGCACGCAGTTCTGGTAACGCCATCCGTTGGAAAACAACGAGAACTTATTCAAGGTCCTGATAGTTCATTACCGGTGTTTTTGATCCTCTGAAAATACCGATGTCGCACTTTCTGACCCCATCGCCAACCTATCTAATCCTTCACCCTGTTACAACGTAGCCTCACAAACAAATTTCCATTTTCGTCTTTAGAACTATTTAGAACTCTTTAGAACCAAATTTTCATCTTTAGAACTATTGTTATATATGATATAGAACTCTAGAACTATTGTAAAACAAACCGGAACTCTAAAGAAATAGTTAATTTAAATAGTTTGTTTGATTAAGTGCGCTTCGAGAACTTAGCGCACCTTTTTTTAAAAGTCTATTTTTTTGTATTTAATGACCGGAACTATTTAATATTGTTGCAAAAAGCTCTAGAACTTTTCAAGAGAGTATCAAAACATTAAAAAAAATGTCACATTTTGGAATATGGTGTGCCAAG